TATAGGCCTTTTTAAAATACAATTTCATTAAATAATTAAATAGATTGAGATTGACTACTCTATTGTCATATACATTTAAGTGCATAAAACCAGGGTCTGTAACACACAGACATCATCAGTTCTCAGGTAAATGTCAGGATCCCAGTTTTTGTGTTTGTCTGTTTGTCTTGACTTTTGTGTTTCTCCCTTCCACCACCAGGAGGCGCCTGGCTCCGGCTTGCCTCCTCAGACACCTGCAAGCTGTTACCTCATCAACGGACTGCTCTTAAGCTGCTGGTTGCCACTACTTCAACGCCAGAGTGTTTGCCACTTTGGGGTACTCTAGCAAGCCTTGTTATTCTGAGTCAATCTGAGTTTTTGCATTCAGAGCTTTAGTTCTCTAGCCAAGCTGAGATCACATTGAGTTTTTACTGAGCGCTTGTTTCTCCTTGAGACTAAACTTTGTTTTTTGTTTTTTGTTTTCTGCAGGAAGCCTTCCTGCAAACTGCACCTTTCCGGAACGACTTCTCCCAAGTGGGATCAAATGAGTCTTATACTGAGCGGTGGATTCCAAACAGGAGGTTTGGATCCAGTCACCTTTGAGAACGCTGAGATAACTCTCTGAGTAAGGAAATCATCTTCACCATGACCTGTTCAAGTACCACAGGAAAACTGAGTTCAACCAGCGGCTGCATCATTTCCACTCTGTCCGAGTTCTTGGTAAACCCTGTTCCGCCCTCCACCGAATCAAGCAAACTTTGGAAGACCAACACACAGACTAGAGTCTAAGTGTCTCTTCTTCTCTGGAAACGTGAGTGGCAACAAATCCTCTCCTTCAAGATTAACAACTCCAATTACCCACTGAGCTTGAATCTAACAGTCTGTCTTCCCCTCGTCTTCCAGTTTCTGGCTGAGCAGAGTATGGAGGAACTCTGCACTGAACTCAAAATAAATCTCCAATAAAACCCGTTGAACTTTATTACTGTGTCTCTCTGTTTGGCTTCACTCCATGTGGGTCCGGGGCTTAGAAAAATCATGACAGTAAATATATGCGCTATTGATTAAACTTCACAATAACTCTATAACAACGTAGAATTGGTCAGCTGGAATTAACCTGAGTCACTGTGTTTATAAAATCCTTTTATGCAAACCACAAGAAAATAAATATATTATTATTTGAATATTACTATTTAAATGTTATTGAACAGTTCTCCACATCTATTACACAAGAAAAACATTATAAAAAAAACATTCTAAAATACAATGGTTAAGTTAAAATGCAAGAATAGATTTTAAAGTTTGCTATGGCACCATGCTCTTACTTTGAGCTACAGGCAAGGTGCCCTGGTTACAGATGTCCAAATGTTGAGATGTACTCTGGTGTCTATGCCATATTCCTCCTTTTTTTTGTCATTAGACTATGTAAATTAACTAGTTTGCTGCTGTGCACAGGATACCTTTTCGGCAAGCACTAGCTTGCTTGATGTTGCCATGACAACGTAGCTTCCATCAACTTGTGTTGATTAGTCCTCAAAATTATTAATGTTGTAGGGCAACAGCTGTTACAACACTTTCCAAATTCTCCCGAGTGGTGCCCGTCTTTACACAAATGTATAAAGTGAATTTGATTGGCTGTTTATCAAGGGGGCGGGATTGTTGTGGCGGAAAGTTCACAAGCCTTTCAGGTTGTGGCCGGTGTCTCAGAAGCATCTTGCTCACCAGTTAGCAACTTAGTGCAAGTAGGTTCCCAAGAGGAAATTAGATTGGGACAAAGTAGCACTTAGCAACAACATTGTCAAGGAAGGCTATGGACAGCGGAAACATGCAAAAGAAGGAGAGTTTTGTATTGGAGGTCATGGATGAGTCTCCTCCCTCATACAGTTTTTATTTAGAGAAGGAAAGTGGGGACGAAGATGCTGTGGAAGAGGACGCCAGGGCGGCAGCAGCTTCGTTTGTTGTAGAAGGTCTGCAGTCGTACATGTTTGAGCACTTGCCTTGCAATGCTGCCAGTTCTGTTAGCTCTCCAACTGAAGACACAGACGTCCATCCCAATGAACACTGGGACTTAGCTCAATAGTAAAGTAAACAATGATTATTTTTTCTCATTTTAACCATTACGTATATCAGCTGTGACATATAAATCAAGATGCTATGACTGAAAAAATTTGATTGACAGGTGACCGTTGATATATGATTGGTCGAATTTAGGTGTACAACCTGACGTATAATAGGGTGACCAGATGTCCCCAATATCCGGAAATGTCACCGATTTTACTGTTTTATGAATGAGGGGAAAATGTTGCATGTAGACTGTTGTAGTAGAAAGAGTGCACAAGCACAGAAACAGCTGTTAACGTATGGATGAGAAGCGGAGTGCACCAGTTTTAAAACAGACGAGAAAGTTAGTTATCACAGTTGGCTGGACACAGCTACACTATGTTAAAGCAAAATCCCACATCCTCTGTCACCGCCCTGCCCCTCTCCAGAGTGCCTGTGCCTGAGCAAAGCATACAGCCTCTGCTGTTCCTTGTATCTTGCTGAGCTCCGACAACTTCTGAGCTTGAGGAAAGCATGATATTATTATTAAATTCATAGGAGCAAAACATGCAGAAATTAACATTTATTTGAATATGACATATTAAAAAGATCCCCATCAGCATCCAGCATATGTGCAGTTTCTGCCCAAATATTTTGTTGTGGATTTTTGTAACAGGGATAACTACTAACATATAATCTTTATAAATAATAACAGCTTCTTTAAAAAAAAAAGCACAGCTGTATCTATGAATAGAAAGTAGGATTGGGAAAACATATTCCTGTTAGGTTTCACTATAACTTTATTAAATGACACATTAGTTTTATGTTGGCCCTGTGAGCTTTTTTTAAATTCATCTATACGTGTGATGAAAAAACATGTATTTTTGGTGTGGTTGTTCCAAGCTGCTCATTAAAATGATCAAGAATTATAGGTGTATTTTAATGGTTGTAATTTAATCTGACTATAAAAATCTAATGTTACTTTTTTAATAGTGACACAGATTTTAATCCAGGCTGCTGGAGGCTTCTCAATGCACTGCAGCTGTCTGAAAGGCTATTTAATTTTATAGTTATCATTATGTGGAAAAAAATATGTTTTTTTTCCACATATATATATATATATATATATATATATATATATATATATATATATATATATATATATATATATATATATATAGATATTCATTTTTGGAAGACTGAATGACCAGATGGCCATAATAAACACTATTCATTGATTAGTATTATTTATCTTAGGAAATGGAAGAGGATTATTCCTGAATTTCACACTTGATTTTAGTTTAAATATTAATAAATATGTAAAAATGGATGTTTGATTATTTCAGTTGTGTTTATAACTCATTACTCATCTCTATCCTGTAATTCGTCATGCAAGATGTTTTTTTCCCAACAGGGAGTTTTCCCTCTCCACTGTCGCTTCATACTTGCTCATCATGGACAGGTTCTCTCAACCTGTGTTATCCAAACTGGACTACCATCTTCCAGGTCCCTGAGTAAGGCTCTAGATACAAGTGCTTTTAATTTCATCACCTACAAGCTGGCCTCGACTGACCAGCCAACACTTTGATAGCAGGTCAGCGGCAACAATCAATGGTGAAGAGAGGGTGAAAAAACACGCTAAGCAGGCAGGGCAGTAACACATACAGTTATATTGGCAGGTATTAAATCATGAACTATGCCCCTATCTCAAAAATAAAACTCCATCACTAGAGCTTAGGTCTCCCACTTTGTCTATTCAATCCTCTTAACAATGCACATTTTTATAATTCAAGCAGCAGCCTTTAAGATGAGCATGCAGCACAGGGTCACTTAGCCATCGGCTACCACAGCGGGTTCAAACCTCCAGAGAAATGGTCTAATTCTTCCTGTGATTCCCTGTTTCCATGACAGGCAGTTGGGTTATCCAAAGGTCACAGTTCTCCCCCACCATCCTGCAGGCTTTTTTCGTGAAATGTCCAGTCATCCATAATACCAAATGTTTTAAGGTTGTGATGACCGGTATATCCAGTGTATTCAAATACTAACTGAATCATTGACCAACCCTGTGACGTCACCGTTTGAGGTAGTGCAACATAGCAGTACCTTACCAAAAAAGAATTTTCTTTTACATAATATTTTTTGCAATATAATTATTCATAATAGTAAGATGCAATCCCTGTGAATTAAGTTAGTTTTCTTGAATGTTTAATTTCCACTTCAAATGACCAAGAGTGTGTGTGTATTAGATTCAAATCCAATATGTTAGATTTAGAAACATGTAATCAACCCCAAAAGGGTATTAAATGAACTTGTAACTTATATTAAAGCTAAGGCACATTGTTTTTTTTCCACAGTCGGATAAAGAGTATGCTTTTTTAAGCTATTAAAGGAGTTCCTATGACAGATCAACAATTTATAACTATATACCTATTTTGGCTTCAGTCAAATTTATTGTCCAGTAAACACAGAAGCATTTGAACTACTCCCCCATCTACATTTCTTCTCACATGATGCAAAAAGTGTTTGACATGTAAAAGTTAAACAAAAAAAAGCCTTTTTGTTTTAGAAAGTTGTATTACATTGAAAACAGACAACAAGACTTTTATTTATGAGGTCTATATCAGTTCAGGAATAGTTTTATGTTTTTGGAACTTGGTGTTTGGTGATTACATTTTACTATTCTATCCATTTTAATTTACATTGAATATCTTAATAATTAATACAAGTATAGTCAGATCTCACCTAATTTAATAAAAACCAATGACAGATTGATCTTTCTTTCTGTCGGTCTTAAGCTCTCCAATTTCATGTTGATATAAAATTTTGCTTTTTCCCAGCAAAAGCGCTGAAAAAGTAAACAGACCATTTTGACTTTGTTTTATCTGTAGTTGAATATTAACCAAGGTACAGAATTTCACAAAAAGAGCAAACAGCACATCCGGTCAGTTAGAGCTCTGAAGACACCTTAAGGCAAGCAGGATGATTTCCAGAGTGTGGTTGTTATTGTGGTTCTGTGGTTTAACTTTGGCTCAGGATGGGTTTCCTGAAACAGAAGTGACCGCTGAAACAGAGTCATGCTTTCCTAATATGTGCAAGTTCCTCAAAGAGTTTGGGGCCATAAAAGAGAAACAAAAAACTATGGAAACAAGCATGAACGAGAAGCAGGAGGCTCTTGAAACAAAGCTGAAGGAGACTGAAAAACTGGTTCTGGAGCTGAAGGAGAAAGGTAAAGCTCTTTCTGAATTTATTGGCAATGTATTTTTGAACAGATGCAGTTCAGTTTTTTTTTTTTCATATCTATTTAGAAGCACAAAAGGTCGTATTCAGTGCCGCAGCAGGGGGAAGTGGGTCTATTGGGCCTTTTACCACAGATACAACCATAATCTACAGAACAGTGATAACAAATGTGGGCAATGCTTACAATCAGCACACAGGTGAGTCATTTTATATTTTTAAGTATGAATAGGTAAGGCTGTTAAGCTACTTGCAATTTAATGCAGTGCATTATTTCAGCTAGATAAATCAAAGCAACTAAGTGCACTCTCTCTGCAGCGGGGAGAGACTTTTACTGCAGAATTACCAACAGGGAGCTGAGATACACATATGTGGCACTGCTTGGCTGAAAGAAGCAACAATGTGGAAGAGTGTTCAACATGGCCCAATCCCAGACCAGCCCCTAAACGCCAACCCTAAGCACTAACCATCTGTTTGCGCATTTCCGCGGAGTGTCCGCCACATTAGGAGTCGTCCACACCACATAATTACCACTGCATGAAAAGTGAGATTTTCGTCCCCGTAAACTCCCGCAGATTTTCGTCAGTTTCCGACAATTTGCAACCTGCGCTTGTCGCCGTTTGTCAGTGCCACAAATTGTCGGGAAC